TCTCGGAAGCTTGGTGGATCGGAGAAAAATGGCGAGAAAGAGGGAAAGAAGGCTGTTGAGAAGAGCCGATGGCGGCCTCGAAAAAGAAGGCATCGTCGAGGGCGGTGAAAGAGAAGATGGTGACTCCAGTGGCGACAGAGACCGATGGGTCGAGAAGGAAGGAAGTGATGACTCGTAGCGCATTCCCCCCCCCCCCCTTCAAATTCCTCAAAATCATCGTATATGCTTTTATTCTTGTTTCGATGAAGCCTGATTCGGCGGAGTCAATTGGTGCGATTCGTCGCCTTCCTCTCAAACATAGTCCTGAGAAGAAATCGAGGACAAGGTCACGAATGCTTCGCGTATTTCAAAAGTTTGTAACATAAATGGCTAGATTTGTCTAACAACTATCAAAATTTTCTCTAGGTCGTGGATTTCAACAATGTTGAGGCGATAATTGTCACAAACGTAATAGTTGTGGCTATAACTGTAAAAAGAGTGAAAGTTTTGGCTATGCAAGTATATTTTGCCAAAAAATGAATTATGACGTGGCATCTACGTGACAAGTAAAGCTGACGTGCGCATCAATTTGGTATCGTAGTCAGCGTGTCGTTAACTTAACTGATGGAATCTTTAACACCGTTAAAGTTTGTAACAGAAATGACTAGATTTGTCAAACAACCATAAAAATTCTAGCTATTTTGTGTATTCGAAAGTTGTGACTATAGCTGTCACAAACATAAAAATTATGGCAATGGAAATGTATTTTGCCTTTATTATTTAATTCTTCTCATTGCACTAAAGTATGAGAATTGGGGGAGCTATACCAATTAACTTTGAATAGGACGTCGGGTACCACTGAACTCTATTATATGGGCACCCCGTACCACTTAAGTTTACTGCTATGTGCATCCCGTTAAACTTGACAGAATATTCTTGGAATCTTCCGTTTTCTAAATTTCAGAAATGATCCTTCTGCTTCTTCTTATTGTAAAAATTTCCTTGGACTTATGAAAAACATAATTTTTTTTATTGTTTAGTTGAAATATTCTTTTGAAGACTCTGGTACCGAACAATATTTGAATCTGAAATTTATAATCAATTACCATTATAAGTATTTTCAATTATCATTATGTGTTTTAATAATTGAATTACTCCATGAATCAAATATATCCTATGAATTTTAACTCGATAAATAATTTGAGGATATTATATTTAGTTCTCTCACATAGTGTTGAATCTCCTTGTAATTTTTATATTAAATAATACTTGTTGAAATATAATTTTTTATGCTATTAAAATTTTTTTGTACCAAAAGGCAATGAAAATTTTGGGTTGGACAGGAAACTAGACGGATACAATTTTTAGGAACTTTAACAGTATTCGATGTTCGATTCAAATTTAAGTAGTATATCTGATCCAATTCTCAAACTTAAGTGGTACCAAAGTATTTTACCCGGTAAAAGAACATCCATTAGGTTTTCGATTATCACTTTGTTTTGTTCGACGCGTGACGGTATCTAAAAAGGGCTGTTCATTTGCTTAGAAACTGCTGGTAGAAATGGCGACGAAAGATCGGGCGGTGATGAAGATGAGCACCACGGAATTTACATGGAAGATTGAGAATTTCTCAAAGCTGAAAGAAGCCAAGGTCTACTCCGACACGTTCCTGGCCGGGGGCTACAGATGGTAACTGATGATCATGAGCTTTCTGAATATAACAAAACCCTAGTTCGTTCCAAGCTAACATAGTTTAGTATCTGCAAAACCCTAATCAATCATTCTTCTAAAACCCTTGTTTCCGGTTCAATTCGGTTCGCAGTCTGTTATATTTGTTTATCGATTTATGCAGGAGGATTCTCGTATACCCAAATGGAAGCGTTGGTTATCCTGATTATCTGTCAGTATATTTGGATTTCCCTGATTGGCAAACGATGCCTAACGGATGGAAAGTACCAGTTTTCATCAGCTTGACTCTGGTCGACCAACTCAATGCCACCTTCTCTGTGCGAAAGTGTACTTAACTAACTATGTTGATCTCCTGCTTATATATGCTTTCATCAATGGCCGTCTAACAGTTCCTTAGTTCTATTTTGTTCTTTCTTGTTTAGAAGTTGGAATATTGGTTTTACATTGCCTACATTGCCTGCGGAACAGATTCCGGAACTGATCTCAGTAAAGATAATGGTACCTCCTGGGGATTCTGTTTTGTGTCCAAGGCCGACCTTCAAGATCCACGCAAAGGGCTCCTCGTTGGTGATACCCTCCTTATTGAAGCTGCAGTTTGTACTGTTAAGTCTCCCGCCCCCTTTACTCGAAATCTCGAATATCGATCGATGTATATATACTTCCTCTGCATCCCTAGATGTTTAATGAACGCGTCTCACCTACCTGCAGGAAGCGGCAGCATCAGAAGCTGCTGCTGAGCCCAGTGTTGGAGACACTAGCAATCCATTCTCTCTGTCAAGTGCGGAATTGGCCTCAAGAAACCTGATAGCAGAACTATCATCAATGACTCTCAGTGCCAACCCTTCTTCAAACCCAGACCATGGTTCGGTTTTGCTGCAACAGCAGAGGAAGAAATTGGTTGGATTCCTAAGTATGTCAGTTGAGACCATGGCCCAAACCGAATCGCTCGATCATGTTGAGAACATTGCCCGCCAAGTAGCTGAGCATGCTGCAACTGATCCACGTGAGAAGGCAATACTGAAAGAGCTGGTCGAACGCATGGGTGAGTTTAAAGAGGTCGTTCCTAGCTCCCTAGCCGCTATTGAGAGAAGCAATTTAATCGAATCATCGGTGGCCCAACTGACAAAAGGTCTGGAGGTAAGGAAGATTCTTTCCAAGATGTTGTTGAGCAATTTGGTGGCTGAAGCTTATAGACTTGGGAAAGAAGGCATGAAGCTTGAGGCTGAAATTCAGCAGTTATCTGCCCACAAGAGAAAAGTTATAGAGGAAAGAAATTCAATTACGGTGGAACTGGAGAAGGCCAACCAAGATGCTTCCAATTTACTAGAAGAGTTGCAAAAGCAGCGTGGAGAAAGCGAAGAAGCAGTGCAGCGCAGGATGAGAGCTCAGGAAAAACTAGCTGAGTCCAACTCTAGTTGGAAGCTTCTCGAGCAGAAGTTGGGATGGTAGCAGTAAGTAGTAACCTTGTTAGAATGGATGGCTTTTGCCTTTTGGATGGCAGTTATAGTACTAGTGGTTTCCTTTGAATGAATACTTGGAAAGATAGTGTTGATAGTACTAGGCCATCTTTTGTCGGTTTATGGTGACCGGAGGATTTGGCCTTTTTTCTGGTAGTTTTTCCCTTCGATTTCTGCCTTTGGAATTTGTTAATAGAGTATGATTTAGTCTTGTGATGAAGAGTGCTCTTGTTTTCTTGTACGAAGAAACACGTACTCAAGACGGCCATGTACGTTTATAAGACAGAAATTGAACTACTAAGTTGAAATTAATTGCATGCTCCAAAGGAAAGAGACGGGGAAAAGAATAGAGAAGTGAATACTGTTGAAGTCGAGTGTCACCCGGGAATAGATAAGGTCAGTAACCCTATAATCAGTAGTTATGAGTAACGTGTCCACATCAGCATGATATTGGTATACTCTCTCTTTTGGAAAGTCTTTTATCTATTCCTCTTTAATCTTTAATGGACGATTACTCTCTAGTTTTAAGTCGAAATTTAATTTTTTTTGCACAGATAAATTAGATTAAATGTGCTCTTTAAAATGATATCCAATTTGATATATTTTTAGTAAAAAAAAATTTGAATAATTTTTTTACCAGTCATTACCATATGGTATGTTACTATTTAATACCATATGGTAAGAGGGTTGAACATACCAATATGAATATACCAATATGGTAAGAAGGTTGAATACATGATAGTAGGAGTATATAAACTATCATTTACGACTTTCATCATTGTTTACTACAAGTTACCACCCACAACCATAGTGGTAAAGTATGATAATTTTTTATATAGTATTTTTTTCACCCAGAAATTTATAGATACAATAGATTATGATGAACTCGTTCCTTCTGAGTAAACGTTTTCAAAAACGACTTAAAAACGAAGAAGTTACCATATGGTATGTAGTTGGTAAAAAAAAAAAGTTTCTCGAAATATATTGAAAATTGATCTCATTTTGTAGAGCACAACGAACGTGTTCCATCTGTGCAAAATTTTTTTTTTGAAATTCGAGTTAGAACGAAGAATATAAGAGCCGATTAAGAAAATAGGGAAAATAAAATGTCTTTAATAGACAACCCTTATATCTGAATTTTCTAGATCCACTTAGATCTAAAGGTCCAGATTTAGTTACTCATAGATCAGTAACAAATAGTTACTGACCCTATCCTAAACCGTCGAACCCGGGGAGCTGAAAACGAATTGGTGTCAAAGAAGAAATCAAGTTTGAATGCTCAAAGTGTGCTATTTTAGTTTAGTTCCATTTAGTACCCGTTGTTTTATATTAATGTCAAATAAGTCCTGGTGCAGAATGTTAGCAAGTAGCAAGTCTTTGTTTTCAACATTGAGGGAGTCAAGTATGTAATCTGAGTTGGCTCAACGTAGATCAGGTTGTTACCGAGCTTGTAGGCAAGTTAGAATGTATTTACGTTTGTTTTGATAATGGAATAAACTTTGTATTTTGTATTTCATTGCGTTTAACAAATCCTAACATTACTATATGGAGGTTCTTAGCCGGAACCCCCACAATCTCCCTTTTCCTGCTCTCTGCGCAGTTCACGGAGGGAGAGTTTGGTAAATTCACTCTGCATTTATTGACGGAATGGGCTATATGTGGACTGGGGACAATAAAGCTGGATAATTCTTTTGGATTACTTTTATGGCCCTTTCTAAAAGTTATACGAAGTTAACAGAGAGGAATATGAAAAGGAAAAGCGGTGGAAGACAGCGGTAGAAGGCCGGAACCCCCACAATCTCCCTTTTCCTGCTCTCTGCGCAGTTCACGGAGGGAGAGTTTGGTAAATTCACTCTGCATTTATTGACGGAATGGGCTATATGTGGACTGGGGACAATAAAGCTGGATAATTCTTTTGGATTACTTTTATGGCCCTTTCTAAAAGTTATACGAAGTTAACAGAGAGGAATATGAAAAGGAAAAGCGGTGGAAGACAGCGGTAGAAGGATGGGCGTGGCGGTGGATTTCTCGCCGTGCAGCATCAAGGCTCTGAGATGGGCGATCGACAACCTGGACTGTGACGGCAACCACCTCATCCTGGCCGATAACCCTCTTCTCCCGGCCTTTGATTTGGATCTCAGTTCACTCCTGCATGTTGTTTCCCCTGTTCTTCAATTGCCCGCCGATAACCCTCTTCTCCCCGCCTCTGATTTCCGTTTTTCGATCTTTGCAGCTCCTCAATTGCCCGCCTAGAACCCTCTTCTCCCCGCCTCTGATTTCCGTTTTTCGATCTTTGCAGCTCCTCAATTGGCCCGCCTAGAACCCTCTTCTCCCCGCTTTTGATTTAGATATCAGATCAATCTGCAATCATAAATTGAATCACAACTTTAAGGTTGAGCTCTTTTTCTCCTTCTAAGGCAATCTCTCTTACTCGATTCATAAACAAAACCAAATTGCATGTCGAAACCAACTACATGCAATCAATTTTTGCTATTCGTACCTCAGCCCAGTGAACCACCAGTAGGCTACGGACAACTAGCCAACACAAGACTGGAAATTGACCATATGAAAAAAAGCCCAGCCCTGTTATCGTGAAAAAACCAGGAAAGGAAGAAATGGAGGAAGGAGGAATATTAAAAGACAAATAAATGAGATATACAGAGAAGGTGGAGGGAGATAGAGAGAGTTGAGGCCTCTGTTCGAAAGTGGGAGGTAAAAGGGAGGAAGAGGTGGAATAGGAAAGGTCAATTAATTGAGGCATGGAATTGGAGAGAAGGGAAACTAGAGATAGGGAGATATGAGGTGATGGATGATGACAGAGAGAAATGGGGAATATTAGCAAGGCAAAAGTAATGCTATGAGAGTGCTCCATCTTACCATAATATTTCATTCATAAATTATCTTTTATTTTTGGTAAGATAAAATTCTATTACATTAATTTTGGAGAATAATGATATTTAAAGTTTAAATTTTAGTAATATTTTTAGAGTGATTTATCTTATTTGGGATTTATGATTTAGTATATTATTATTTGTATACTTATAATATTTTATTTATAAATACCGGGCTAAATCGGGTTGACAACCTTGCATCAAATTGGGTAAAGAATAAGGATTGAGGGGTTGATCTTCTATGGTGGAGGAGTTATCGACACGTAATATAATAGCAACAAGCAAAAAAACTATTCCCCAATTTCAAATTCCTTGCTTCAAGAGCGTTTGTAGGAAAGGTAGAATAGGAAGTGTTATTTTTTTTCTTTCCTCTGTGGAACGGGCCAACTTACCGTACACGTGCGGACTTGAACGGGCTCAGGAATTATTGCGGCCCACAAAAACAGAATATATTTTAGTCACGCACATCTCTTCGCCCGAACTTAGGATACCCAATTCGTGGGTTCCAAACCCACGCTCGCGCTCCAATGTTAAAATGTGAATTTTAACGGATTCTGGCAAGTCGTATACAATTCGCTAATTAATTTTACGGCAACGTGGATTTGTTGTGGGAGAACGCGGATCTGATTAAAACTACCCTTTTGCATAGAGTTTGAAAAGAAACTTTGAGCCATTAATTGGGTGAATGTGTGAAGTAGACTCAACGAGAGGCGAGAACACTGCGATCATAGGCTCTAAATGGATGAAGGAGATTGTCGATTAATTGAGGTCGGTCAAACTGAAAATGAAGGAACTACCAACGAGTAGTGAGATAGGGCTATGCGATTATAGGGATACTTTGTTCTAGAGGAAACAAGGAGTTTCGGCGCCGGAGAGATATGGCGACCAGTAGTCGACGTCGAACAGGAAAAGCCGACACCTTTGAATTGAGGAGAACCATCCACCGTCTCGATGCTTCTGGTTGCTGGATTTATTGTCCTTTCTGTTTTTACATCAACATAACTATGAGATTGTAGAAGTACTGAGGATGGAAAGCTCAAAGACCATTTACTAATAATAATCTTGGACTTTTTTGTGGTAATATCTTGGACTTTAATTTAGTTTTTACTCAAATACCAAATTGTTAAATTTTATGGTCGAAAAATGGAACGAAGGATTAATACAATATAAATGCTATATTGGGAAAATATATCCTTTTCCATTTTATTAAACCTTTATCTATTAGTATTTTACGGTATATATATTGTTAATATAAACAAAATAAATGATATTTTGAATATGGTGCAACAATCACCGTATGTACCGACCTTCTACACTGACTCCGGTTTTTTGCAATCAATTTCATGTGGAATGCGTACTTCCACCCATCCTGGTGACGATTCATCCACTTCTCAGACTGATCGGAAGCCGTTTCCGTACCCTTCTATCTTTGCTTCTCCCATGCTTACGAGTAGATCTGGTCGGGGGAGAATGAAGGATATTGGGTCGGGAGATCCATCCACTGTGTTTGCGATTTCCACCGTCCTTCCCGACGATTATGTGTTGGGTGGATTCATTATACTTTCTGGTTTTTGCGAGGCCATGATAAAATATAAAAAAATCAAGAACGAACAACACGATTTGGGATAGGAATCGTCGTTCCTATATTCCTAAAAAATGGTGGTAAACACGGACTCAGCTGTCGAATTGGTTTGGATTGAGATTTTTATCGGGTGTCAGAGAACCATGTAGATTATAAATTAGACTTGATTAAAACGGGCCAAGTTTTGAAATTTAACCTGTTTGACCTACCCCATGCCAAACTCCTATTATTCTTTATTTTCAAACTTTCAATTTGAAAAAAAAAATAGTGAAAGAAAAGAGAAGATTGCAATTCGCCATTTGCACATCACTGCTTCGGGAATAAAACCATCGAAAGGAAACTGAAAATGTTTATGATCGTTTTAATGTTTAAAATTATCAAATGAATCTTTCTGTTTAGTTTTTTGGCTTAATTGCAAGTTTGGTCACTCGAATTGCTACAAAATTTCACGTTTGCCACTCAAATTAATTTATTCCATTTATAGTCACTTAAATTAGGTTAACAGTCCAAGTTTGGTCACTGGCCGTTAGTCTCCGTTAACTTTTGCTGATGTGGCGGTCAACTCTTATAGTTGACCGTTAAATGCATGACGTGGCATTTAAAAAATTTTAAAATTTTAAAAATGATAATTTCCACCTCAACTATTAAAAAATAATAAAAACCATTTCTAATCTAACCTCGGCTGGGAATTCCTTCTCAATCAACTGAGGGCTCCCATCCCATGGATTGATATCAACTTAAGGCTTCGTTGGGTCCTCTTCCGATTACCCTCTTCTCCCTTCTTCTCCTCGTTTTGATCTCCAACCTTCCCGGCGCCTCCGGTCGGCGGCTCTCATCCGCCGTACAACAAACACCACTGCTAGAATTTGTTGCCAGTATGATGACACCGGCAGGAAACCAGCTCTGCCCAGGCTACGGAAGCGATCTGCCCCTGTTTCGAAGTCCATCTTTGAGCACACTGCAATTGCATCCCGTGCGAAACCATGTATTGCTAAGCCATTGATCATTGAGTTCCAAATCGAAACATCATCCCACTGAACCCTCTCGAATATACTTTTTGCAACTTCTATTCCACCACATTTGGAATACATATCGATCATAGCTGCAACCAGGATGTAATTAACTTCAATTCTCATATCGATCATCACCTGATGCAGCCACTGAGCCAAGGGAAGACTACCAAGCTTTGCACAACCAGGCATAACAGATGCAAAAGTGAACTTGTCCGGAACAACATTTGAAGTAAGCATCATTGCTGAATCTCTGGATTTAATGAAGCTGTGAAGGGTCTTATTCAGAGCAACTAGATTCACAGTCCAATTAAAGACCTGGTCAACAACTTTATAAGCTAAATTGAGGCGGTCACAGTGGGCATACGCAGAAATCAATGAAGCCACGAGAGACGGGTCACAGTGGCCGTCCTCGGCAGAAGCGATTCCGACTTCGTCGTAGCCGTCGGAGATTGGGGCGGAGATGGATGTCGCTCCCGGCGGCGCGGGTGAGGGTGGCGGTGTTGGCGAGGTCGGGGCTACGGTGACCCAGATTCGTTTGGGGATTAAGCGCTTCAAGAATTGGAGGACTGGGCTGAGGTGGAAATTATAATTTTTAATTTTTTAATTTTTTTTAATTGCCACGTCATGCATTTAACGGTCAACTATAAGAGTTGACCGTCACATCAGCAAAAGTTAACGGAGACTAACGGCCAGTGACCAAACTTGGATTGTTAACCTAATTTAAGTGACTATAAATGGAATAAATTAATTTGAGTGGCAAACGTGAAATTTTGTAGCAATTCGAGTGACCAAACTTGCAATTAACCCTTAGTTTTTTACTCACAAATACCAAACGATTCACTATAAAATACACTATAATTTAATTATTATGATATCAAATAATTACATAATATATATATTTGAAATGATAAAAATTGGAATAATGGGGTTGGTCGAGGTTGAACCATTTAATAACTTTAAAATACATGATATTTTAGCCTCTAAGATATAAAATAATAGCATAATATATGTTTCAAATTAGAAAAACTAGGCTAATCGAGTTGGATCCTAGGTTAACCATTTAACCCTTTCAGTGAGTTGATGAATGGATTGTTCCATTCGAATTAATAACGTTGATGACAAGATAAAAGTTCTATAAATAAAGTTAATAGGCTAACAGGCCGAGTAAAACCTAGCAACGATTGTGAGATTCTCATTTCCCGAAGACCGGCGGGATAGGCGATTTTTATTTGGTTTTCTAGAATTCAGTTTCTATAAACTTACTCAACATCATCATATTCATATTACCATAAATAATATTGTTTCACAACGTAACATGTACTCGAACTTGATTCGTATGGCTGATTTTTGATTCGTTGCATCATCCATGTCTCTTTCTTGCTAAAATTCACTATCTTTATCACATGTTTCCCAACAAAAAATGTATATAACAATAAGCTATACACCCCATTGCATTCTCAAATTTCACATCTCACCCCTCCGGCCAATTGGCCGGGGCTCCACACTAGTACAAGTTTAGAGAGGTATTCATGTTACTGACCGTCAATGTTGGTGTGGCCGTGTGGGTATGGTTCGGTAGAATTAATCGCATCACATTGATTAATTATAAAATATAATGGTTTTATAAGGACATCTCAACATTAAACATTAACCCTATGTTTCCGAAGGAAAGGTAGAAACTAGAAAATGGAGGAGAGGGGAAGGGAATTAGGAGGGAGGGACAATTTGGAGGTTAAGGAAATGGGAAGGAAAATTGTGTTTTATAGAGGAAAGTGGGAAGGAAAATATGTATTGGGAATTGTGATGAATAAGTTATTTTATTAGGTATATAATAGTATAATAATTTGATTACATGTTGATATTATTTTCACTGCTTACGAATTTTGAATTAATTTTTTTTTTGCTAATTTTGTTCACTGTTAAAGTAATTTTGCAGTATTATGCCAATATAGTGCAAGTTTAATATGTTCTATTATATTGCGTTAATAACGGTATTACTATGATATGATACCCATTAGAACATGGTGGCGGCCGGAGTTGGGTTCTGATATGAATCACAAGTGTTCAGGAAATCGTTTGGTCGTCAATTAGAGAGCGAGTTTGTGGGGTTTGGGTCGGCAGAGCTTGGATGTCGCCGCTTATCTAACTGGATAATGTCAACTGACTTTAGCAATACTACAATCCTGATTTACATGATAACATCCTGATGAAACATCATTTCATTAACTTGTCCAATAAAAATAACCCAAAAAATTTCACAAACTTTGCTAAAAAAATTCTTCCTAAATAATTATCTCTTATTAATCTTAGTTCTTACCCACCACCTTAATTTTAGGTTGAAAAAAAAAACAATAGAAAAGACACTTTGTAACATTTATTCCACCTAATATTATATGATATAACAATCCTACAACTTGTAGAGTAAAAAAAAAAAGGAATGCGGGGAAGATGAGTGTTTTCCGCCCAAAATAGAGGGCTAGTAAAATAGTATTCTGTCCCTTGCTTTTCCTCCCCTCCACACTGTTACTTATTTAGAGAACAGGGGAAAACTCCTCAAAAGTAGCGTTTTCCTCCCTTTCTTTTCCTTTCTTCCCTTTTCTCTCCTTCCGAAACTGGGCATAAATGAGTTAGAGGGGCCATATTGGGTTGGTAGTTGGACCTAAGTGGTTGAGCCCCTCTCCTTGCCCTAGGTAGCTAACTGCCCTCATAGCCTCGATAGTAGCTGCTGAGAAGTTGACAATGAGGCCTGTAGGCCACCAAGAGACCAAATTGACGAGCTTTGGAAAAGTAAATCGGGAGACAATGTGAGGTGGCCACCCGAAGGGGTACCAAGCTATCATGGATAATCCTAGATCTCAAGACTAACTATAGAATCTTGGGGGTGGTGGTGGGTCGGCCAAGGTATCAAGCCAATTAGATCAAGCAAACAAGATGGCTTGATACCGAGATGACAAGCTCGCACCATGACAAGCTCACTATGACTAAGTGCGGAGCCTTGGTGGGAAAAAGACTTTATCGTTTCTCAACAATGTAGTAATAGCTTTTACTAGTTTCTAGAGCTCTCCCTGAACCATCATAGGACTGGAGTAATATAACTTAGTTTTCTCATCCATCAAAATCACCCTCGTTCGAAATTAATCAGAGAGGTGTGAACTGTGTAATTCATCGTTGTTCAAGAAGTCAAGGCGTATTCATTGAGTTCAAACACCAAAAGTTTTCTCTCCGAAAAACAGTTCATTAAATAAAAAAATGTTGACCACAATGGAGCCAAAACCAAACTTAATCTACATTGATTTGGTCTTGTCACAATTTGATGAGCTTTTTAAATTTATTTATTCAACCCGATTCAATTGATTCGAGCCATGCTAAACAGGTTATTACCTCATTTACTTGGTTGTTTGACTTGTTTAGCATCATCCTTGGAGCCATTTTACGATTGGTTTTGGAATATTTTAGCATGTTTTAGGCTATAGCAGGTGAAATGGGTGAAAGAATCGAAAGTTGGACGAAAGCGATCGAAAAGGGAGAAAAATTATGAAAAGTGCACATGTCATGGTTTGGAGGTGAAGATGACAAGGAGGTTGTGAAGATCGAAAGTTTTCAGAAGCTTTCAGACATCGCATGGGCATTGCAAGGAATACAGTCCCAAACCGTGAAGTCAGCAGAGAGACTGTGAAGCGTGTTAATGAAACGACTCGTTTTATGTTGAGATCACAATTTCATTGCCTCTACACGGGCATGACGTGCAACCGTGACACGTGCATTGTCGAGCTATATAAAGGAGAGGGAGAAGATTTTCAAAAGGAGAGGGTTTAGAGTGAGATTGGGTTTCTTCTTCCACAACCTAGAGAGAGAAAGCTATGAACAAGAGAGAATTGAAGGTGGATTTGACCTACCAAAGCCATTTGAAGGCCAAATTTTATCTCCAAGCATCCATCCAAGCAACTAAAAGAAGAAGAATCAAGTTCCCATAGGTTTTTCCTCTTTTCTAGTTTATGTTCTTTTTATAGCTATGTAGTAGTTTCTCTTTTCACTTGGATGATGTGATTCCTAGTCTACGATATTGTAGATTGATTTTGTGAACTCTATGTAATGATGGATATGGTCAAATGTATATTGATTGAGTATTTTTCATCCAAATTTAGTGTTCTTAATCAAATCCCTCAATTTTGGGGCAAATTGACCTAAGAGAGAGAACATCTCATTTGACAATTTAGGTCACTATTCAATCAATGTAGAGAGCCATGAATTAATGTGATTGGTGTATTTAAGCCGTTCTAAGTCAATGCCCTAGGAAGTGGATTTGATTTCCCTATTGTCTAATGTGGTAGTGTGGTACGCCCCTCCGATTAGAGCGACTAGGCGGGTTAGGATGCACTCAAATAGGGGGGGGGGGTCCTAACTACATTTGATCTCCTAGCGATAGATAGAACTTTCCAATCGTACTAGAGTGTCACAATCTCATCTTAACAAGGGATTAGGGGATAACCATTTGATCCGAGTGAAGCCTTCTCACTTGAATTCAACATCATTTTAGTTGTTTGTTTGCTTAGTTTAATAGTTTTAAACAACGTTCTTATTGCTAGATAACTTTTGGTTTACTGAAGTAAGGGTAGACGAACCGCTCGGGTTGATAATCAAACATATACTTGCTCTACACTACTCCCATTATAGTATTATACTTGGCCTAGGGTGGGAGTATGTAATAGGTCGCGAGTCAAGTTTTCTTGGAACCGTTGCGGGCAAAACTTTTTGTTATTCGAAAAAAGTGAACTACCTTTAATCCAACATTTCTTTTCTTTCCTTTTGTGTTGGCGTTCTCTTGTTTGGCTCATGATTGTGTTGTTTAGAGAGTGTGCATGTGGTCTATGACCTGGAGTAATCTGATGGAATTGGTGGTGCTAGACGACAACATCAATCATACTCTCTGTCTACTTGCTCGTGAGAGGGAGCTAAGGGAAGAAAGGAAAAGGCTTGTAGTTCGACACAACCGAAAGTTGAAGTTGAAGTTGAAAACCAGTTGAAGAAGAGTTAGTGATGGTGAACAAAGCCGCACAAGAAGGTGTGGGCAACGGGAAATGAGTATTTGGGTAATACCCATACCTGTCCCTTTTTTGAGGGTTACGGGTACCCAAATACTCATTTTATTTTTAATGGGATTAGACTTGGGATCAATGATTTCTACAACA